TTAGGCATGCCCTTTGGGTGTTATATATGTATGTTGAGGGAAGTCCCTGACCAAGGGATTGCATGAAACACTCTGAAGATATTTACAATTAATTTTAACATTGTACCACATATTGGAGGACATAGGACATACCTTTTTTTTTTTTTTTTTTTGAAAGAGGATCTCACTCTTTCATCCAGGCTGGAGTGCAGTGGCACCATCTCAGCTCACTGCAACCTCCGCCACCCCAAGATGATTAAAATCAGATGCCTAAAATCTGACTTTAGGCATTAGATTTTAAATGTCTGTGCTGTTGAACTGGAATTCACACTTAGGATTCAGATGTTTGGATGTTATTGCATAGCCTGTGTTGAACCTCTTTTGCAAGTGGATCCATTGTTGCATGTGTGAACCATTGTTACTGCTCCTATTAACCGGTGTGACCAGATTCGGAAGAACATGGGTATGGGATGGAGCCAATTTGGCAGCACTTGGGGATGGATTACTCCTTGTTACTCTCCTGGGCAGGATCATGCAGTCGATGATAGCAGAAAAGCCAGGTAGCTGTAGGACAGCAATGCCAGGTGGTCCAGTTCCATGCCAGGCAGGTGGAAGAAATGCTATTGGAGTACACTGGGGTACAACTCCAGGCCACACAGTGTAGGCGTGGCAGGCCGGGGAACACCAAAAGCAACAGACTTCTCCATTAGAAGGGAGGTGGCTCTTGTGAAAGAAATGTGTCTGTTTGTCTGTAAATTAATAATCAGGACAGAATGTCAGGTGTTACAATCAAAAGCTGTGTCTCAAATTAAAGAAAGGCCTTCACACAATGTAGAAAGAAGACCTTTGATACTCACTAAAATGCATTGTTAACATGGCCCCTAGAATAAAATACCTCTGCCAGCACAGTGGCTCATGCCTGTAATCCCAGCACTTTGGGAGGCTGAGGCAGGTGGATCACCTGAGGTCAGGATTTCGAGACCAGCCTGGCCAATACAGTGAAACCCCATCTCTACTAAAAATACAAAAAAATTAGCCAGGCATGGTGGCAGGTGCCTGAAATGCTATCTACTCGGGAGGCTGAGGCAGGAGAATCGCTTGAACCTGGGAAGCAGAGGTTGCAGTGAGCCGAGATGGCATCACTGCACTTCAGACTCGGGTGAGAGAGACTCTGTCTCAAAACAAAACAAAATAAAACAAAAGAATAAAATGTCTATACGCTCTGAAGAGATCTAAAATTAATTTTAACATTGCACCAAATATTGGAGGACATAGGATGTATTCACCTTTTTTAAAAACTTTTTTGAGACAGGGTCTCACTTGTTTGCCCAGGCTGGAGTGCAGTGGCATGATCTCAGCTCACTGCAACCTCTGCTACCCTGGCTCAAGTTATCCTTCCACCTCAGCCCCACAAGTAGCTAAGACCAAAGATGCTCACCATCATGCCTGGCTAATGTTTGTATATTTTGTAGAGATGGGGTTTCATCATGTTCCCCAGGCTGGTCTCAAGCTCCTGAGCTCAAGCGATCTGCCCACCTCAGCCTCCCAAAGTGCTGGGATTACACCATGCCTGGCCATATTCAACTTTTAACTGCATATTCCTCTCATTTTTTTTTTTTTTAATTCCAGGGTTCTGTGATATAGTAGTTATCTAATGCTTGTCTGGATGGTCCTGTCTCAGGGTCACTCATGAACCTGCATTTGAGCCCTGAACTCGGGATGCAGTCATTTGAACATCTGTCTCAATGCTTCTGAGATGGCTCACTTAAAACGGCTGCTGGCAGGAGGCCTCAATTTGTACCACATGAACGTCTCCAAGGGTTGCCTCAGTGTCCTCACAACATGACATCTGGTTTTTCCCAGAACAAGTGATCTAAAGAGCCAAAAGCCACCATGTGTTTTATCACTAATCATGAAGACACACACACACACCACCACTTCTGTCATATTTTAGAAGTGAATCATTAGGCTAGCCCACACTTAAATGGTGGCTGGGAATTAGGTTCTATCTTTTGGAGGAAGAACTGTTGAAGAATTTGCAGACACATTTTAAAATCTCCACATATCGTATTCATCTAGAACGTCAGGAAACGTGGTGTAGTCAAGACTGGGTACAAGAATTATGATACCCAGAGCAAAATGAAAACGCAGGACCCCTCTTTAAGAGTTTCCAGACAGTGATAACAGAGCATTAATCCAAGTGTGGGTCCTCTGAGGCATTGGGCCCTGTGCTATGGCCCAGGTCCCATCCCATGAAGCCAGCTGTAGCTATAGTGGTTAAGCGCATGAGCTTTGAAATTACGAGTTTGAGTCCCAGCATACAAATTTGAGTCCCACTGCATACAGATTATGTAACTCTTGGGGAAATTAATCCAGCTGAAATTCAACTTCCATTTCTCTAAAAGGGGTATGATTAATTTACCTATCACTTCGGATTCTTGTGAGCATTAAAGCAAGTCAGTATTGGCCTGGCTTATTATTGTAGGCATTTGATAACTTGTCGATATTATAATGATTACCTTTAAGGAGCTTTAGTGGTAGAGAAGAAAAAAGGACTGAACTGATAACTAGGATTGGTGATTTAGTGGATTATCATGAACTCCTTAAAGTGGGAATAGCACCTTACACTTTCTGCAGTACCAACATCTCTTTGACTTAGCATGGATTCCTGCATTCAGGAGTTTGAAAAACATGGCCTGTAAGCTACAACAAGAATGGCTAAGAAGATGTATTTCAGAAATGGCACGTTTTCAGCATTCTAAAAGGTAGGACCAAATACTGATTTTAAGAAAATCTACATAAGAAGATCAGTATTTCATTGGTTGTTGTAATACTAGGCATTTATCAGCACATTAGAAATGGTTGCCATGAACTACTTTCTATTAATAACTCGGTTGAGACTGAATATTAAATGGGAAATTTCTCATAGCAGTATTCTCTTTGGTTGGCTCAAACAACAAAAACAAAAACTATTCCTGGATGAGGTCTTCATACTGGCAAAATGACTTCATGAAACACTTTATAACTTCAGACAGGCCTCTGCTTCCTTTCTTACGCAGCTGAGCATGACTCAGTAAAAGCCAGCAACAATCCTCTGGCTTATACAAACTCCTCAGCCACAGCTCAGGTATACCACGGCGGGCGCTCTAGCAATCCCACTTTGAAGATTCTATTTCAAACCAGATAACTGGCCTTTTAAAAGTTGACTGTTTTCATAAGGACTTTCTTCTACTAAGCTCTTAACCAAAGCATATTGCTGGGCCAAGACATCTTTACTCATCTGAAAAAATCCCACGCACCAGCCCATGAAGTAGAGTCCATGGAATCCAGGAAGTGTAGCACTGGGCTTTGAATTACTCCTGACCTGCTGGGAGAGTTAATGCAGGTTCCAGAGGTGCCGCACCTGCCTCTTCTGAAAAGATGATATCATCAAAGACTTGAGTAAGGAAAGTAGGCAGAGGTGCGGGTTATTTATCTGGATGAGCAGACAAACAGGAAACATTAAGAAATATAGCAAGAGTTGGGTTCTTTTCACAAACACATTAACATCAAAAAAATAAACGAGCCAACTATAAGTGTGATTAGAGGTTTTTTTTCTTAACTCTAGGCGGCGTTGTGTTCTTAGCAATAGTCTTTTTCTCAAAGAACTTTATTTATTCCCCAATCCAAAATTAGTTCCTTAATTTGAAACAGCCATAAACAAACATTACTAAAGAAATCCCTTGGGCTCTTTTCTCCCACACCCTATCCCCCCACACATGTTTTCTGCTGCTTTGTTTGTTCTCAGTTCTTTTTCCCTTTGTGCTGAACAGAAGGGCCTGCAGTGATTTGGCTTTCTGAAATCCCTTCATAAGTTTCTTGAAAGATATTTAAATTCCATTTTGACAGGAGAGAATTAAATTCACATTAATTTTCATCAATAATGAATTCAATCTAAACAAACTTCAGTAACATCAAAGTATGGATTTTAGTTCTCTACTGGTTAAAAAGGTTGCTCGCAGCTCTCTAATTCTTTTATTGGCCTACTGTAGCCTACTGCTGTTCCGGGAGGATGAATGGAGCCTCTAATCAGAGCAGCTGTCCCAGCAACCTTGGAGAGAGAGTCCCTCGCACCTCTTCCTCCACTACTTCTCTCTTCATTTTCTTCGTTTCCAATCTTTGCCAACCCCCTTTTTCCTCCGTACCTTTGTTTCATCTCCATTTCCCACTCCATATCAATGAAGAATTCCATAGCGATTTGGCTTTCCTCTTCAAACCCATCCCAACATTATCTTCAAAAAAGGGAATGTGCTGGTGATGTCCCTGGTTGCTCTGGCCTTTCCCCTGCTCTGCTGTCTATCACAGGGGACTGCATTTTCCAGTTCCCTTGCCCTCTGGCTTCCACATAGGCTGAACCGAAGGAAGGCATAAACAGAAGAGTGGAGGGTGGGAAGAGGGAGGAAGCCAGGGGATTTCACCTCCTCTCTGTCTGTTTTGATGCTGTCTCTGGCAGTGGCTGCTTCTCTATGATTTTAGCTGCTGGTCAACAGCCCCTCCCTTCAGTCTCAGTATCTGTCAGGAATGCTCCCCACTGTGCTTCTGACTTCTCCTATCTTCCAGGCTTTGGTAACAGCATCTTCTCTCTGAGTTTCTCCAGCCCCAGGGGAGTTAATGGCTTCTGACTGCTGTTATTCTTTTGGTTACCCCACTGCTTAATTCCTGGGTTCTGCTTCTTCCATCACAGGTATGACAATTTCCTGGCCAGGCATGGTGGTTCATGCCTGTAACCCCAGCAAACTGGGAAGCCAAGGCAGGAGGATTGCTCAAGCCCAAGAGTTTGAGACCAACCTACTCAACAAAGTGAGACCTATCTCTAAAAAAATATAAAATATTATCCAGGTGCAGTGGCACACATCCATAGTCCCAGCTACTTGGGAGGCTGAGACGGAAGGATTGCTTGGGCCAAGGAGGTTGAGGCTGCAGTGGGCTGTGATTGTGCCATTGCACTCCAGCCTAGGCAACACAGCGAGACCCTGTTTCAAAACCAAACCAAACCAACCAAACCAAAAACGCCAAAAAACAAGTTCCTGTATTAAATTCCTCGTGTTTGAGACACCTACAGTGGTTTCTGTTTTAATTGGGCCCTGACCAAAATAGGGGGTTCAAGATTACAACATCTCAGATAACAGTTCTCTAGAGCAGAATGTTGGACAGCATTACTTTATTCTATGTTCCTTGGAGTTCTTATACACAATAAGCCACAAAAACAAACAGCTATTAAAATTCAATGCCCAAGGTAAGTTTGGGGTGAGGTAAGGTGAGAAAGACTAAGGAAGCAGATGGAGCATTATTTCCTCTGTGCACCTGGGGCATCTGTGGTTTTCACTCTCCCAGACATGGAACAGAGGATTTTCTGACTTTGCCTTGCTGATACGGGCTTTACAGCAAGATGTTTCATGAGATTTGCAAGTCACTTTCCCTTTCATTCCCATCTGAGTGGGCACATCCTGTCTGCTTCGCACTACTGCCTCTGTACTCCAGTAATGTGTTTTTCATCATCACAGGTCCAATAATTTTGAATCTCACCTGATAGCACCATCCCCTGGCTTATAAATGTGGGAAATATTTGCTATGGAGGAGTGATTTGTAGCACTTTGTGAGTCAAAGGCCTTTTGGGAGAATCTAAGGGATGGTCAAAATCCTTTCCGCAGAGAAAAATGCACACATACCATGATTGTGAGTGAGCCTGTGTACATCTATGTGTGTTCATGAGGTGCATACACACGCGACGACACACACTTTCCCATAAAGCTTGTCAATCCCAGATTCAGAACCCTACCCCTACCATGTATGGTCCTTGGCCATATATTCTTTTTCTATCCACATTCAGGATGCCCTAGGTAGTGCCCATTATGTAACTATAGTTTTATAAATAACTTAATTTCTTCCAGTTTACCTCCTTTTAAGTGATGAATTAAACTTCAAAACATGGAGTCTGTCAGACACTATTTTTTTGTCAGATACTTTGGACTCACCCTAAGGAAGATAGTTCCATGTTTTACTTGTGTAAAAAGATGTCTCTATAGTGACATTAAAGGATTCTGTATGTGAAACTGTAATTTCCTCCTGCTGTTTTAAGATATTCCTCTTTCTTATTGGCACCACATGAGATAAAGTTCGGTGACTGGGGCAGAGATTTATGAAGTGTTATTGTTGAATATATGTGTACGTTGCTTTCCTGTGGTGAAAGACCCGTAACCCAAGACTTCCATTTTGGGATTGATTTGGGGCCTAGTGTAACACGTACGCTGTAATAAGTCACGGCAGATGCTGTCGATTTACTTCCTGCTGTCCCATGTGGGTTCCAGGGTGGATAATTTTGCTCATTCTTTTGGCCTTTGCTGTGTCTTGTCAAAAACTGGACTCATGTTCATAACTCTGAGAAGTGCTCAGCTGTGAAATAAGTACTGAAAAGATAAAAAGCAATTGATCCTGAGTCATTGTGATCATTCAATCCTAAGTAAGCAAGAAATAAGTATTTAAAGTGTCCCAATAAATCTTCTCTTTGAGCTTAAGCATTTAGAAATGTAGAATACTTATAGATTGACTTGTGAAGGAAAATTAGGAAAAACATATGTATTGGCTCTGAAATAGAGATAGAAGTTATTATGAAACATTAGTGATAAGTTGAGTGGGGTCAGCCTGGTGCATCTGTTTCTGCCGAAGTGGGAATTCTTTAGCATCAAGGTATGAGAGTGTATAGCAGAAGTACAGGAGATATCAGTTCAATTCACTGTCGAGAAATAAAATATCTGCTTTATTTAAACATCGTAGCTATTTGTTATATTTTTGCTTTTTACAACTATTACACAAAAATTATTGGGGTTTGTTATAAGAAGATGGGGTAATCTTTCAAAGTGAGTGATAACCGCTATGAAGGAGCCATGAAAGAAGATACTGGAAACACTTGGTATTCATTCATTCGTGCACGCATGCATACAGGCATGCATACAAGCATTATTGAGTTCCCACTATATTCCAGGACTTATGTTAAACACAGCATTGGAAAATAAATAGATATGATTCTGCCCTCAAGTTTGTCTCAGTGTAGTGAAAGAGACTGATAATTGAACAGGCAGTTTGATCATGGTGTGATATACTCCATGCTAGAGGCAACAGAATTTTATTGGAGCACTGAGTAAGTGCTCTTTTCTCGTTTGGGGGATCAGGAGACCTTTTCAGAGGTGGTAACGTTTTCTGTCTCAACTAAAAATACACACACACACACACAAATTAGCTGGGCATGGCGGTATACTCCTGTAATCCCAGTTACTCAGGAGGCTGAGGCAGGAGAATCGCATGAACCCCACAGGCGGAGGTTGCAGTGAGCCGAGATCATGCCACTGCACTCTAGCCTGGGTGACAGAGCGAGACTCTGTCTCAAAAGAAAAAGAAAAAGAAAAAGAAGGCAGTAGGATGCCACGTGTCAGAGGAGTCAAATGCTATGAGGACCCAAAACTCCCTTTAAGATGTGGCAACTGGTGGGGCACGGTGGCTCACACCTGTAATCCCAGCAGTTTGGGAGGCTGAGGTGGGAGGATCACTTGAGCCCAGGAGTTTGAGACCAGGCTGGGCATAGGGAGACTTCCTCCCTAAAAAAATAAAATAAAATTAGCCGCCAGGTACGGTGGCATGCGCCTGTGGTCCCAGCTACTTGGGAAGCTGAGGCGGGAGGATAACTTGATTCCGCGGTTGCACCACTGCACTGCATCCTTGGTGACAGAATAAGACCTTATCTCAAGAAAAAAAGAAAAAAGAAAAAGATGTGGCAATTGACAGATCACTGAAGACCTTGGCAAGATCAGTTTTAATGTACTCATAAGAGCAAAGGACTGGGGTGTGAAAGGGAAGTGAGAAAGTAGACAGAAACCATATACTAAACTTTAAAAAACTTGACTGGTGGGTAGAGAGCTGTTAAGATCCAGGCTTCTTTTTCAATAAACATACAAATTTCACTTTGTCACCTCTAAGTTCTGATCAGATAGAGCCCCCTTCTCCCAGAAGATCACAGCTTAAATTTCTGGATACTTCCACCTACCAAACTGATTTCTTAAAACTTTGCTTATTTATATTATAAAAGCAATCTTTTTTCAAAAATATATTTATCATATAGTATATTATAAAACATCATCCAATACTTAAGACTTTGATATGCCCTTCACACACTAAGGTTACTAATGAAGATAGAGTTCGCCTGGACATCTCAGTGATAGGGATAGGAGGGGGTATAATCTTTAAGTTCCAGAATTTATTTCAAAAGCAAAAAGTTATGGATAAACTATTGAACAGAAACCAGGTAGAACTATGTTGGTTGCAATAGCAACTAGCTTGGGAAACAGCTAGTTTGGAGTTTGAAGATTTCATATGTATTAGTTTGGGCTGCTATAATGAAAATATCACAGGTGGGGTGCCTTAGACAGTGTTTATTTCTCATTGAATAAACTGGGAAGTCCAAGATTAAGTCATTGACAGCTCTGGTGACCGGTGAGGGCTTGCTTCCTGGTTGGTAGGCAGCCGCCTTCTTGCTGTATCCTCACATGGCTGAGAGAGTGAACACTGGTCTTTCTCTTCTTATAAGGAAACTACTCCCACAATGGGGGTTCTACCTAATTACCTCCCAAAATCCTACCTTCTAATACCATCCCATTGGGGGTTAGTATTTCAACATATGAATTTTGAGAGGACATAAACATGCAGTCCATAATACCATATATAAGTCATCACATATAAGTATTGGGCCAGCCATTTTTGAAGGCTCTAGCAAACACATGTACCACCCCCTCCCCCATCTCTATCAGCTCTACCTAAAATCTTGACTTTATTCTTTCTTTTGCATTAAGGCAAGCTCATCAAACTGTCCCAAGGATCTTGGACGCATCGCCCTTGGCAGATTGTGTTTCTTCTTTGAAATTCTTCTTTAAAGTGGCCTTCATTGCCAACTACCAAGCTTGCAATGGGGAGACTTCCCCCAGCACTCCTACCCATGCCTCCCACCCTGTCTACTACCTTGGACACATGACATTACGATATGGAAAGAAGAATCTCTTCTGGAAAAGAGTGCAATAAAGAAATCCAAGGACCCTGTACTCAAAGCAAATGTTCTCCATGGGTGATTAGTATAAACCCTCATTCAGCGTGATTTGGTTATCAGATTTGCCAGTCTCTAACATGACCTAATGAGAAAGATCACCAAGTACTGAAATGTTCTGATGGAAGAGTATTGGAAAAACCACTCAAGCAATATTTATCTATTTATGTTTTCAGTTGGGCCAATTCAGAAAAACAACAAAAATTTGCAGGCCACATATTTTGTTCAAGATGAAAATAGCTTTATTATTTTTTCCTGATTATAAAAATAATACATATTTATTATTACAAAACTTGAAAGCTATTTGTATGAAAAGAAGTAAATATAGCTTGAAATCTGAAAGTCCATAGTGGGCCACAGTTTAAAAGGCAATTCAAGTAGTTTCTTTAATATTTTACTTGATTGGCTAGAAAAATGTTGATGAGTGACTTTTAGTCACTAAATTTTTGAATATTTGAAATTCAATATTTAAATGTCTGGAAAAGAGGAACATAAAAGCCGTTTTCTAATCTTTTACTCAGAATTGAAATGCTGGATTGTGCTGTAGCCCTTGTAGCCGCAGGTTGCACATTACTGATTTAAAAACACTTGGAACAACATATAAGGGGTCAAGGGGCCTGGTGAGACCTGGGGGAGCCTGGAAACAGCATCAGGGCCCTCGCTGCCCTGGGACTGGAGGGACGTTACAAAGGAAGAGGCAGTATATCCGAGGAGACAAAGGCCTGAAGCTAGACCCTATCTTCTAGGAGGTCAAAGACCCTCACCATCATGTTTACCATCCTGTGGTAGTGACAGGGCTAGCACAGGATTAAATAGATACTCAGTAAATACTTCTTGATGTAGGACAAATTTCATCTACTTCATTCTGTGGCCCTGGGGTAGTGGTGCCTGATCACAAGTCACTAGAATGGAAGGAGTCCTCAGGGTTGAGACTGTTATATGTCTGATAATCTAGAACGATTACAACACCCATCAAGGTTACCCAGTGGGGCTAAAAGTACCAAGGAGCTTATGTACCAAAAATAAAGAGCTTCTTCTTCCCCTGCCCAGGGTAAACCTTCAGGGTGATAGCTGCTTTTGACTGATAAAGATTTATAAAGCAAACTATAAAATTATAAAACATGATTTTCAATTTAATGCAACTGTGGACTTGAAGAAACATGCAGGTCTCTGAAGGAACCCCTCAGAGAGTAGACAAGAGTTTTGAGGAGGCTAGGAACGAAGGACTTTTTGAAGCAATTTATAGACCCAATGCCCCTGAGGGGAAAATGTTTGGGGCCCATGAGCTGTGTCAAGATTATCTCAGGTCCAGACTCAAGATCTATGGGAACTTTGTAGCATTCCCAGTCACTGAGAGGGGATTTGGGGGCAGATGAGGTTGGGGCCTGGCAAGAGCGCCCCTAAGAGTGTAAGACAAGCTTCTGCTCCCTGCTCTTACTCAGATTGGCACGAATGGGTTTCAGGAAAAATACCCATAGTGTAGAATGTGTCTAATGGAAAGGATTATGCAGGTATCTTTATTTAGTAAAGGCCATGTTTGTCCTGGGGAGGTGGGTTGCTTGTCAACACCCTGACCTCCATGGTCTGATTCTTCCTCTGCATGAGATGGGCTGTGCTTTTGGTGCTACTCTCTATAAAGTTTTTCCGGCTTTATTCAAACCTTAAGAAGAGCATTCCTACGAATCCATCAGCAAGAACTGCTTTTGTCCTACCTTGCGCTCTGGAAAGTCTTTAACGAGATATCAGAAATTCTTGGCTGAGATTATAGGCTAACTTGATTTACCTAACATAACTACTCATGAAATTAGTTCATCAATCTAACACTATTGAGTACTTTCTATGTTCCGAGGCTCTGAGGACACAATAGTGAACCAAACTCCACCTTCATGGAGCTTCTCATATTGTACAGATGTCAATGCAGCTGAAATAATGGGCGATTAACCTTTTGCCTATATTTCTAAATTTTGGTTTATTCCGTCAATGGCCCCTAAACCTAGAGTTGTGCCATTTTGGTTGTTAATACAATAGGATATTTTTGAGTTATACACAATTACCTTTCTCTATCAGCAATTTCATATGCTAACGCCTGTGATGAATGTATGTGCCAGATCAAATATATAGATTTAGTTTTAGGGACTGAAGCAGAAACAGACGATTACATCATATATTTGCTAAATTACTTTTCATTTGGTATAGGCGGCCAGTAGTTTTTTTCCTTTGCCATAATATTTGCTTTTCCTTGCAGTACTCCTAGGGTCTCCCCAGCAACGAGATGACAGCTTCTGAGTTATCATTAGAAAAATGAAAATGATTTTTTAA